ATTTTGAATGTGTAACCCAACGGGCCTCACTGTTTGTCACAAATTAAATACTATTTTTTATTCACATTTCTCAAATTATTTAACTATTTTCATATTTATTTCTCACTCCCGCTCTTTCCCTCCTATTGCAATGATGTCTTTGCAACAGAGTAAACAGGCATCAGCGGCAGACATCAAAAAGACAAGAGTATTTTTATGCCTCTCAAAGGAATTGCAAACGAGGAGGTTTGGGGGCAAGGGAAGAACAGAATTTAAACAAGCACAGAAAAGAGCCAGTGTTTGGATTTTTACCAAGGCATCTGTGTACAACGAGGGCTGAAGGGGAACTACACACAATTACACTTCTGAACTTGTGGCAGGAATTTCCTTCCTGTATACTCCAGTTAAGAAATCTGACACTAGCTCTTGCCATATATTTATTCAGCTAGTTCCCATTCTTGCTATAGCAGTTTGTACTAAAAAGGGGGCATTAACCTCATATCTCAAGCACATGGCATCGGCACACAGCAGCTGAGTCCCACAGCCACCTCCTGCAGTCGCTCATGACAGGCACCACAGTAAGAACTTGGAATGCACAAAACTCGAAAATGCTTCTTGGAGGACCAAAAGATTTGCCACCGGGCAATCAACAGCGGACAATAATTTTCAGGGGTGTTAAGCATTCCAGACCTCCACTGACATCATTTTATACTGTAAATATTCAGCCCCCTCAAAAAAGCAAATCATAGGTATTTCACAATAAACATTCAAACTTGACATACTTAAAAACTGAACTTTTTTGAAAACGTGCCTACGATGTCTCACTTGGGTCATGTAAAACAGGATTGATGTCTCTGCTTCAAACCTGCATTTGTTCACATCAAAAATATGTTATCAGACTAACCCAGTTTAATGCGAGTTTCAGTTCTCAAAAGATGGTTCAGAATTTGCCTGGAATCACTGTCTGTCTAAGACTCATCTCCAGAAGAAGGAGCAATCTAGGGCCTTCTCCTCACTCCCACTAACTCAGGAATAGCTAGTCCCAACTGGGACAAGCTCGGGAAAGGTCCTTTCGTGTTACTTGCAATGGAATGGAATTTGGAAGACACTTTCTAGGTCAACAAGTCCATGAGTCAGGACAGTGCCATTGCTCCAATAGCGTTGCGAGATCAGCATTAAAGGACCCTGGTATGGCTGTGTCTACAGACAGCTTAGCACAGGAACCTCAGCAGAGCTGGTGGGGTGACTGTGTCAGACCTGGATGGGCAGCAACAGCTGCAAGTCTGGATCCAGGGACTTCAGCAGAGATGTAGGGGTCCATTTGGACACCTCTTCTTGGTCCCCTGTTTGCCCAATTCTGAGCAGTGCTATTAGCCAGGAGTTAAAAGATTAGAAATATACCCTGCCGATCCAACTCCACAACTCCTCACCCACCAAACACTGCCTTCTGGAAGCTTACACGTGGAAACTTGAACCAATGACCAGCGAGGGGTATTACAGCACTGCTCGGGCATGCAGGGGTGAAATCAGGGAGGCCAAAGTGCAACTGAAGTTGCAGCTAGCAAGAGATGTGAAGGTTAACAAAAAGGCTTTCTACAAGTGTGTCAGCAACAAAAGGAGGATCAGGGAAAGTGTGGGTCCCTTACTGGATGGGGGAGGCAACCTAGTGACAGATGATGCAGAAAAGGCTGAGGTAGTCAATGCCCTTTTCACCTCAGTCTTCATGGGCAAGGGCAGCTCCTAGTTTGCTGCACTGGGCAGCACAGTCTGGGGAGAAGGTGAGCAGCCAACAGTGGCAAAAGAACAGGTTAGGGACTATTTAGAAAGGCTGGATGTGTACAAGTCTACGGGGCTGGATGTGATGCACCTGACAGCACCGAGGGAAACGGCCGACGCATTACAGAGCCACTGGCCATCGTCTTTGAAAACTCATGGCGACCAGGAGAGGTGATTGGGAAAAGGGCAAATCTAGTGTCCATAACTAAGAAAGGGAAGAAGGCGGATACAGGGAACTACAGACCAGTCAGCCTCACCTCAGTCCCTGGAAAAATCATGGAGCAGGTCCTCAAGGAATTTATTTCTAGGCAACTGGAGGGAAAGAAGGAGATGACGAAGAATCGGCATGGATTCACCAAGGGCAAGTCATGCCTGACCAACCAGACTGCCTTCTATGATGAGACGACTGGCTCTGTGGATGCAGGGAGAGCAGTGAACATGATATACCTTGACCTTAGCAGGGCTTTTGATATGGTCTCCCACAACTTTCTTGCAAGCAAGCTAAGAAAGCATGGGTCGGATGAACGGACTGTAAGGTGGATAGAAAACTGCCTGGATAATTGGGCTTAGAGGGTAGTAAGCAATTACTCGATGTCTAGTTGGCAACCAGAATCAAGTGGAGTGCCCCAGGGGTCAGTCCTCAGGCCTGTTACCCAGCAGTTACCCAGAGAGGTGGTGGAATCTCCATCCATGAAGGCATTTAAAGACCCAGGTAGACAAAGCCCTGGCTGGGATGCTGTAGTTGGGGCTGGTCCTGCTTTGAGCAGGCGGGTGGACTAGATGCGACCTCCTGAGGTCCCTTCCGAGCCTCATCTTCTACGGTTCTACAATTCTCCCTGTTCACAGTCTTTCCAGAAGTCTGAGATGGACAGGTGACAAGGCCAGAATCTAAGACTGAACTGTTTAAATAACAGAGGATTTTGCTCTTCCTCTCTATTCCTCACTTGGACATTCTGGTTTTGTCCCCATGCACCTCAGGTGTTCTCTTCCCCCGACAATTTTTCTGAACACATGTCAACTTACTTAACCTGTAGCCTTTACTGCAGCAAGCAATAAATACAGACTCAGACCCATACCAGAACTAAAAGAAATGAAAGGTAAACTTACGCTCATTTCTGGTCCCTGAACTTTAACAGTCTACATCAGTGGCGGGCAAAGTCTGGCCCGCAGGCCAGATCCAGCTGGCTGTGGGCTCCATTTCCCAACAGCCTCTGCCCACATGGTTGGGGCTGGTCTTCATGGAGACCCCAGCTGCAGCTGTGCTGTGACAGCAAGGGCATGCAGGCAACAGCTCACAGCTCTGCCCTGACTCAGGACTGCGCTGTCACTGCTGCAAAGAGCCAGGGCAGAGCTGTAATCTGCTGCCTGTAGGCCCTGCCCAGAGCATGCAGGCTGCAGATCACGGCTCTGCCCTGGCCCTGAGCAAGCTGCGCCCCCCCCAAGATCCCAGTGGCTCTGAAGCAGCCTCCTGCACTGCCACACACCCTGCCAGCATGGCTGGGGCCAGTCTCAATGACAACCCCAACTTTGCTAGCTGGGGTCTCCATGGAACAGGGCAGGGGCTGCTGGGAAATGGAGTCTGGCGGCTGACCAGATCCGCCACTTTGCCCACCCCTGGTCTACACCCATGCACACGCGCCTTGAGACTGTAGTGCTCAGGAAACTTAGTCAAGAGCAAAATACCCACAGCATGATGCACTGTACAGACACAGGCCCCTTCCCTACAGCTATTACAGTCTAACCAAAGCTCTGGCCCTGGACAAACTAAAACATTTCAAAGGGCAAGATGAACCTGCCCTACAAAGTGCTCTAATACTGGTCAGCACGCTCCAAAAAGGACACTTCTCTTCAGCACTTAATTTTGAAGCCCTCCCAATTAGGTGTGCACATTCAAGCATAGCATGATGCTGGGTATCCCCCAATGCTCAGCTCCTCCCCCCACCTCTGTGGACAGCCAGCAAATACTCTCCTGTGCCCTTGGAAGTCAAGACCCACCTCGGCAATCCCTGGAAGCTTGGGGCTGGACAGAAAGATTCCCTGCATGGCTCTTGGGCTCAGAACTCGGAGATCAGAGGCCAAGTGCACAGAAGAGTGCCTCACTCATCCTCCCGCACGCCCCACAGGGCCAGGGAAACAGAATCTCAAAATGGAGCAAACCCCCACTCAGTCCCCTGTCTAGAGTGCATGCTGCTGCATGTTGTGAGTGGTGGAGGCTGTATGTCTGTCCATGGTTTTTGGAAGTCTCTACGTGCACATTTGTCCATGGCTTCTGATAGGACACAAGTGGATCATGACTACAATTGTTAAATCTGGACATAAGGATGTTGCTGTAATCAAGTGGTGACAGTGGATGAGAGTTTTAGCTGCATGGATATTCAGGAAAGGCTGCATCTTGGAGATGTTATATAAAAAGAATTTGTATGACCAAAGCACAGCCTACATCCCAGGACCTAGAGAGCGGTTAAAGTTGAAGACAATGCCTAGTTTATAGCCATGAGGGATGAGGAAGATGACGACAGTGCCTTCAAGGACCAAAAAAAGGAGGCTGTGGAAAGGGATTTAGATCTCTGCTTTTAGCTGCAAAGACCCTGTGTTGATAGCTCAGTATCTACAGAGAAATGCCAGAGACAGGCTGAGATTTAGCTTGGACAGAAACAGAGAGACCTGGCAAGGAGAGAGATCCATTAATCACCAGAATAAAGATGACAGCAGGATATGAGAATACCCACGGAAAAAGCACAGAGAACAAAGAGCAAGGAATTAAGGACAACCTGCAGAGCCCCACAGAAGGTCAGAAGAAGGATCAGAAGGAACTAGCAAAGGGCACACAGAAGAGTGACTAGGGTGGTAGGGAGATCAGTCATGAAAGCCAAGGGAGGACAAGATTTCCAAATATCAGCACAGAAGGTATGTGATAGATGAAGAGTGAGGAGAGTAATGGTTCCAAAATTTGGCCACAATTAGGTCAGTAGAAACTGTGGCAAGAGCAGTTTAAATGAGTGCCAGAAACCAAAGATAGATTGGAGAGGCTCTAGGATGGAAATGGAGGAGAGGAATGCCAGGTGATAAACTGCAGACAGTACACCTGTGAGTTGATGCATAAAATGGCACAAAGCTCATTGGAGAAGTAAGTGGAGTCAAGGTTGGACGGCCTCAGATAGGCCAGTCAACATCAGGTACCCCTCTGGTGTCAGCATTTATTAGATTCCAGGGGTGTCCAGCAGAGATAAAGTGGAAGAACTTACTCTCATGTTCCTCATGCACTACGATGTTCATACGGTCAACACAAGACTGGATGTCGTTCCATGTGATAAACTCATTCCCTTCCATGTGTGCCTGAGCTTTCAGCTTCATCAAGGCATCGATGTATCTGCCGTACAGAACAGAAATAGTAAGAGACATCATGTGGGCCCCACCTGGCATGTGAACCCAGATGCAATGTGAAGGACTAATATGGAGAGGCAGCAAATGGGATAAAAGTGTAACTCATACAAAAAGAGAATAAGGAGTATTGACACAAGCATCCAGCAAAAGAGAGAGCTCCTGGGTCACTGTGAAGAGTGTGGCAGCACAAAAACAGACAGCAGAAAAGTGAACACCAGACCACCGCAAATTAGGAAGGTGGGCATGACCTTGATATGGGACATGGGGAAGGAAACAGCACCAGCAAGAGCTAAACAGTACCCAAGCACAGGAATGTTCTGAAGGGTGGGACGAGACTCCAAGGGTCAGCACTTGACAAGGCCTAGTACAACAGGGTGGTGCAGAGATCATATGCAAGACAGCAAGCGTCTAGGGCCAGGAACACAGGGCTCCAGAGAATAATTTACACCATAATTAAGAATTTGGAGAGAGACTTTGAAGAGTAAATAAAGAAATGTCAAAAGGAGGACAGCAATGTAGGGAATAGTGCCCCCAAGTACCCACCTCTGGGAGTTCTCATCCTCAATGTTGGTAAGCCCTGTGACTGGACTGCTCAATTGTTTCCATACTGTGTTCATATCCCCTGAATCCAAAGCCCGGTTGATCAGGGCCACAGATGACAGCATCTCTACTGCAACCGAGAGCTCTGGGTGTGTGAGGTTCCCCTGTACACAAAGAAGGCAATGAGCATCATACACTCTTCAAACATTCATGCTCTGTGCAGATACCAGAATGGGGCAGCAGTTATGATGATAAACAAAGACTGGAGCCAGTGCAGCCATTTGTACCACGCAGAGAAAGTGCTTTTCACTGGGATGAGAGGAAGAGTCTCACAGGTGAGTTCAGCAGGCAGAAAAAGGGACACAAAACACTAAACTACACCAAGCCCTTGGTGGCTCAGGGAACACACCTGGGATTTAGGGATTAATGGTGCATCAGGCAGCAGCACCACACAAGGATTCCCAAAGCAGTTACATTCCAGTGGGAAAAGGGGGTGAGGAACTAGGCAAGCCTCATCTGGCTGGGAATCATCACATCCATTTCCAAGCGGTAACTTACACTGGGGCTCTGCTGCTGCAGGGTGGCAAGCTCCTTCTGGTAAAGGGCTGCAGCGAATGGATACACCTGTGGTAACTGGGCCTCTGGATGCATCAGCTCAGCCACAGTCTTGTCAGCATCACCACTTCGGACTGCAGCATTAATCCTCACCACTGATGCCAGCTCTGGGGGTTTAGGGAAGAGAAGGCACAAGAGTTATGAAGGCAGACACTGTCTGCACTCTCTAACAAAGCATTCTTACCCACCCATTGTGGAACAGTCTCTCTCCGCTCAGGACCCCAGCTAAGGGACTGCCTAGAACCTCCTCACATAAAACCAGCTCTCCCACTTCCCCGATCACCTTCTGCACCTAACCCAGTTTGATTCACTCTCCCTGAACACGGTGGACCAGAACTGTACTCAGCAGTCCAGATCAGGTCTCATCAGTGCCCAATCCAGCAGCATTAATACTTATGCAGGAGCTCAGACTAAGTAATCACAGTGGTCCTTTTCAGACTTATAACGCCCGCTGTTCCAAGCCTGGTTGTCAATCACTTTATATAAGCGATTTCGAAAAGCAGGGAATAGGCTGGCTGTCGTTGGTTAGATATTTCAGAACACATTTTAGGGACAACTACTTCTTGCTCAGTTCAAATCAATCAGTGAGAAGTGCAGGGATCTGCGTTACCCCTGCAATCGCCTTCCCACCAGCCTGCTGCCTGAAGGCATGCCAGGCTCATGTCTCAATGCAAGAAGAACTGCACTCAACACGAGCATCAGTGGGTGGCCCTGGGCTCTGTCCCATCAACCCCCCTGGAATCATAGGCATTCACAGGCCTGGGCTTTCAAGGGCAGGAGATACCTAAAGAAGACCCAAGTGTTCAAGCATATTCGGTAGTTTTTAGTTTGAAGCATAATCTCCAACTGTCACAAGACTATCTGAGTAATCTGAAGACAGTCATACACTGGGGTTCTGCCAGCAGTTGACTAAACTTGAGGGGTTTAAAGAAGTCATGAGGGCTCAAAACACTGATATGTTCCAACAAGTGTATAAAAGTTGCACTGCCTCCTCCCTCTGATCACTGCCACCAACTCCTGATCTCTGCTGAAAGGTTCCTTACTTCGCTGGTACTGCTGTGCTGCACTATTAGCTGCATCTACCCCTTGCTGCAAATCTTCTTTTTGCAGGGGCCCTGTCAGGCCACTCTGAGGAAAAGAATAATCACATGTAAAGAAAATGACTTGATACAACTGCAGCTATCATACAAATGTCAGTCATACTCAGTCCTCTACAAACAGAGGGAACCACACAAACACACAGAAGGCAGAAATTATGCACTGGTTATTTACAGTCCTTGTGGTGTAAGCCAGGCTTAGCTCTCATCTGATGTCCTGCACAAGATGAGAGGTACAGAGGGGGACTGGCACACTGAACATGAGCCAAACACAGTCAAGATTCCTTCAGTGTGGATTTGGACTTTGCTACTAATTTGCAAAAAGGTCTTGGCTAGGTCTTCTAATGTGTAAGAGTCCCTATTTGTAAAACAGGAAAAATAATAATAGTAATAATTGCCAGACAAAGCATTTAACAGGAGATTGTTCTTCATCCCTATTATATCTTCTTAGGAGACTCACTTGTGGGTCATGGGAATATAGTTGTGCCAAACTGAATGAGACCTTTGGTCCATCTAGTCTTGTATTCTGGTGCTGAGTGATCAGGACCAGATCTCAATTTCTAGTACAAGACAGCTGAAACCCCAGGCTCCCAAGGTTTGTCTGTTGCTCCTAAAGACACTGTTACTGGTCCTGGTGGTGATTCATTCCTCTCTACCCACTGTCCCATAAAAGTACCAGCCAATTACTGTGTACAGTCACCATCTAAAAATTAAGACAACCATAAAAAATTGAGATAAAAGGCATTTCTGATAGGGCTTCCCTGTACCCTAGTTGTCTGGTGTAAAGAAGCTGGTTTATACACATGCTTGGGGGGGGGGGGTGTGAACACTTTAGTTAAAGTAGCTCTAAGAGCTGCTCTAATTAAAGCACCTGGAGTGTCTTGTGTATCAGCGTCCCTGTGCTTCAAAATGGCAGTGGGGTGCTTTACCTAAAGCTCATCGAACAAGCTTTAGATAAAAGTTAGTGCCTCCTTTGGCTTCCCAGCCATACCCAATAGTGCTAATTTTGTGCTGCACCCTTACAAGGATCTTGTGGCACCCCAGGATGCCAGGAGACCCATTTGACAATCACTGGCCTATACATAGACTACAGATTGTGCACATTTTTATCAAATGACCTATCTGTATTTAATCGCTGACTCTGAATGTACCTGCTGTCCTATATTTCTAACTTCTTATACATAAAAATAAAAAGTGTATAGTAATAATATTAAATCTCCTTCACCAACTTATTTCCTGACAGAGCATAGTATAGTATAGTATACTATATAACTATATATATTATAATATTATATTAGCATAGCTTGAAGCTAGTTTTGAAATCTGCACTATGCATTTTATAAGCTTGAAATGACCTCAAGAAGCCCTTCCCAGCCATACTTTCCTATGATCCCATAAGCAACAAATATAAGCAATATGCATGCAAAATTCACTGAAAATGGGCTTGTAACAGGAGACCACATTCAACCTCAGCTGTGGAGAAATTCCCTATTACAAGACAATATTGTGCATTTAGCCATCTCTCAGACGTCTACACAAAGTACTTAGACACTGAAGTTTTCAAATTAAGAGGTCATAAGCCTACATCATATAAAACCCATATATGCATATGTTTGCAGATATATACATTATATACATTTTTCTTGTGTTGAGGTAAAAGCTGCATGGTAAACAGTCAAGTTTTTCAAAGTTACATTGTTTGCAGGTGGAAGTATGTGGTCAGCACAGATAATTAAGAGGTTAGGTCACGTGTCATAGATTCACAGATTGTAAGGGGCTGCAAGGGACCTCGCAAGACCTATCAATACAGGTTCTTCCATACCTCTTGTTTCTGTTGCCTATCACTCAAGAGCTGCTTAAGATACCAGTCACAATTTTCTCGCTGTACACCTCGGAGCCCCAAAGATGGTGATGTTAAAGTTTCATATAATGCTACTGCATCTCCCTGTTCCAAAGCCAGATCGATCTTTGATAGAGCCGTATGTGCTAGAGAAAGAGCAAAGTAGGGACTGAGGGAAAAGCTAAACATGGTAATCATCAGTTTATACAAAATAGCCCATGAAGGTATATTTTCCTCAACACTAATCTCTTGGAAGCCCAGATACAGAGTGTGAACTGGACACTCCAAAAGTCAGTTAACCCAGGAGGACTTCAGCTATCAGATGAAAACATGTATTAGTTAAGGTAGCAAGTTTAGTGGGGATACTTTATTTCATAAGCAGGGAGGGAAGGGATTTGGGATATTGCAAAACATGGTTAATGAACACATACAGCA